TACCATAGTAGACTCCTATCTACCATGGTTAAGGTAATTATTTGGGAAAATTTTTGAGTTGTATGAAAGTTGGTTTAAAGCTTTTCAAGCATGCTTGTTGATTCTAAATGATTTGTGAATGTGATTTAAGGAGGTAGTAAGGTGTTGATTGATGTGATTACAATATTGGGGTTGAGATTTGATTATTCTAATTACTAATTGATACACCTCCATTATACACATAGTGGTTGGATTTCCTTATAGTTTCTTATTTACCTGTGTTGGTTTGGGAAGATAGGCAGCTCTTTTTTAAGAAGGAGAGTTTTACTTTGAGGCAATGCACTAGTGCAACTTAATGTAGACTTCAGCCTGGGGTAATAAGGAGCAAGGGAGCCGTAAAGAAGAGGTTGGGTATCTACATTACTTGTTTATCTATTTAATTGAACTATGAAATGTGTTTTTAGTGGAAATTTGTATTCCTTGTTATGTAAAATGGTTTCTAAAAGGATTTGTGAAGGTTGTACTTATTTGCAAACTAGTTTTAAATATCATATTGGCATAGGTTAGAATATCTAAATGTTATCGAGACATTAGATCTCATATATTGCTTCTTATCATTTTTCAGGTGAGTTGTTCGACAAGTTACAGGGAAGGCATCATAATAGTGAGCTTAGGCTCTTGATCCCATATGGTTTAGCACAAGTTATAATTGTTTTATTATTTTGTTTCCATGATTAGGAACAATTCATAACTATTTTATTTAGGATAAATGTGGGATTTGATTTGAATTGTTGAAAACTATTTAAAATGGGGGGTTTGATGTTGGGTTATAAATAGTTTGAGAATGAACTACAAAACTGGAGATTTTAGGCTGAGCCTATGTTATTTAAATGGTTATATTAAGTCTAGAATATGATTTGTTTAAGACACTATAGTGTTAATTTCTAGGCTTGTCTTGGACTGTTGGTTGGGTTTCAACTACTTAAGCCTATTGGTGATCATTATTGGGATTCCTGTTGTATTGTTTGACAAGTTTTTGGAAATATTGATAAAAATATGTTGCTTTATTTGAAATTATTGTGAAACATGTGGTTAAAATTTGGGTTGTTACACAACATAAAATTATGCCATATCTCACATGAATATTAATAGTAGACTCTTTTGTGTTAATGTTAGGTCATTGCCCACAAGCAACATACTAGTACTATATGGCTTAAGTATAGTGACAAGTGAGCAAGAGCCTTTACATTGGCACCTAAGTATAATATTAAATGAGCAAGGGTTCCCACATTATTTTGGATGGATCATTTAGAGTGTTTTAGAGCTTGCAATCACTTGGTTAAGCTTCTTATCTTCCTTCTCTCCCTCTAATGCATTTTTGAGCTTGTTCTTGAGTTCTTTGAGGCTGCGTTTGGTTTGAAGGGAAGGGAGGGGAAGGGAGGGGAGGGATGGATCCTCCCAATTTAGGGGGGAAGTTTTTGGAGGGGAGGGGAGGCGAAATTTTAAAATTTTAAAAATTTCGCCTCCCCTCCCCTCCCTTCCCCCTAACCAAACAGGCCTTAAGTGGAGTCCAAAAATGATTTGGGATTTTCACTCAAGATTTTGATTCATAGGTGTAGTTGGGTGTTTATTTGTGTGGCTAACTATTGGTTTAGGCCATAAATGGTGATTTAGGATCTTAAAGTGGGTTTTTAAGTAGACCTTAAATATAAATGACTAAGTTAATGTCAATTAGAGAGCTTAATGGTTTTGTTCAGACTAATGAGAATGTCTAATTAAATTATAGAAAGTTTAAATGAGGCTTGTTGTGGTTGAAAACCATAATGGGATGTTAGGTTAAGAATTAGGTTAGACTTTAATTAGAAGTAATTAGTGATGATTAGTTATTAATTTAATTAGTGATAATTAGTCATTAATGATGATTAATGTATTTGAATGTAGATTAGGACTACATTGGTGTACTTGAGCTTGTTGGAGGCTTATTTGGATCAATACGAGCACTCTTAGTTTGGTAAAACCAAGGGTTGAAATAAATGAAAACTTAAATTCTTGTATATGATTATTGTCTGTGATTATGAGTATTGTAAAATGTTTAAAATGTATTTTACTATGAAATTTACATGTCTATGTTTTAGAAAATCTTGTCAAGTAGGTGGTATGCGATATTATGCTATTGAAGTTGTTCAATGCAATTTAATATGAAATTCAAGCATGTTGTTGTTGATTGTTAAAGTTGAGCCTGAGTTATGATAGTGTGCATAATGAATATGAATTTACACCTTAGCATGATCATGATTGAGTGGGAGTTTGCTCTAAGGAAAATAGTGATTACAAATCTACATGGTAGGCCTCCATTAAGAGTGGTGCTTGGTGGTTGGCATCTTTATATTTCAAATGCTTAGTTGTCGTTATCCTTCAAGAAGTGGCATAGGTTGGGCATTTCTTAATATCACTAGTTTCTTATGGGAGATGATATGGGTTGGGCATTATGACATCCCTAGGATTCAAGAAAGGTACAATCCATGGTCTAAGTCCTTTGTTTTTTTTTTTTTGGTTTAAGAAAGTTTCAGTGCAATGTAATAGGATGCAATGTAATCTTAATAACATTTTAGAATGGAGAGATGGTAATGGAGTGTAATGAAGATTTATAGGAGGGGAGATATGAATGAATATTACCATCATTTAGGTAATGATGTGTAATAGTAATTACCATGAGTCTACCTAAAAAGCTAACCACTCTCCTAATATTGATGCAATATCTAGTACCATTGCACATGTGAAACAACATTGAACCAAATGGGACGTAAGTATGGAAGCCTTTAGCTAGGTAATCCCTTATAATTGGAGAGCTTAAGCTACTCTAGTCACATGGGCTATTCCTATTCATATTAGTAGCCCATGGATTCAATCAAAACAAATAGGGAGAGTAATAAGTTTGGTGTATTGATCATGTGTATCATACATTATTAATTAGCATGCTTAAGTACTTGAATGATCGTAATTTGAAATGTGCCCACTTTGCATGCTCATGATTGCCACACTTGTATGTGCTTAGGTTTTTTTTTGGTTATGGGATTATTATCTCACTCCTATAGTTTAATGTTTTATAGGCGAGAATTCGATTAAGGGAAAAGGGGAGGCCTTGGAGGCTAGAGATAGTTCATCATATTTTGATGTCTACATTTAATGTGTATATGAATCCATATTTTCCAATTGGGGGTCAAGTTGTGCTTATATTTGTATTTAGCCTTAAACTTTGAATTAAGCATTTTTTGACTGTCTTGGCCATGGTAGGGTTTAAGTCTTTATTTTGACTTTTATGGATGCCAAAGCAGTTATGCAGGTGTATTTAAACATCTTATACTTGCTTAAAATGCTTGGTTTTGCTATTAGCATGAATTGAGATTTTTCACATGTTTTCATCCTTGATTATGGCTGTGGGGTGGTCAAATATTGAATTATGAGTTGTATGATGCATGTGAATGTTTGAACAAGTGTACTAGGACCCATTAAGTGTGGTTTAAGCCTGTGTGTGGGCTAATGGCTTGTGGTATGAGTTTTAGACACTTGGTTGATTGTTTAAGTTTGAAGTTGAGTAACTGTGCTTGGGTTTCCAATTTCTTTGTATGATATTAGGTTGATGTGAAATAAAAGCCATTGGGTATATTATGAAATTGTCAACATGTGACCACTTGAAGAACCTCAATTGAAGATTTGAGTAAAAAGTTGTGTGTGCTAGAAGTTGAAATTCAATAATTGTCATGATTGTTGTTGTAATACTTGCCCCAAGTGTTATCTAAAAATCACACAAATTAAATAAACTAAGTGTGGTTAAGGAGTTAATCCTAAAACCAACTTAGGAAACAAATCATTTAAATCAATAACAATTTACATAATAGAAAAATACAAGTATAAAACCTCTTAGAAAAGTATAAAGGATTAATATGTAGTGCACGGAAGCAATTAAGGCAAACAAGGGCAGTTAATTGATGTCATGACAGCATTAATTTTGCTGTCATGACAGCCCTCTCGGGCAAACTTTCAGGAGATGCCGATTCATCATCTGGCCTTCGATTGAAGTAATTTTAAAGTTCACACGTCACATTCAAAGGATACTATAAGCATACCAAATTTCAAAAAGATCCAATGGTCGGATTAAAAATTAAACATGTTAAAAGTTTGGTCATTTTTGCTGTCATGACAGCTGACAGCACCTCTGAACTAACTTTCGGGGTGCACCATTTCATCATCCGACCTCCAATCAGAGCGATTCTAAAGCCTACATGTCACTTTTAAATAGTACTATTAGAATATTTAATTTTGGAAAGATCCAATGGACGGATTGAATTTCGTGCATGTTGCAACATTATCAAGTTGCTATCATGACAGCAAAAGTGCTGTCATGAAAGCTCCTCTGGACCAAATTTTGAAGTGCACTGTTTCTCCGTTTGGTATCAGATCAACATGATTCCAAAGCCCACATAAAGCTTATAAAAGGTTTTACTTGAAAATTTTAGAGAAATCCAAGTCGGATTAAGATTTGGACACCCGGATTCAAAAGTACAGTTTTTTTGGTAAAAACTATTTTCAAAATTGTCCAAATCTTATCCTAATGGTCACAAACTTGTGGAAACACTTTGGACACATCAAATAGGACTAAAAACACCTGATAGAATATTTAAATGATAGAAAAACCCTTTATACCAAAATTTGACCACCCAAGTGCCATTTTCCAAAATGGACCCTAAACTCCCAAAATGCACAAATCACACAAGAGTGGCCAAAAACTATTCCAAATATCATATACAGATATGAATACACACGCTAAACATTTTCACTTGGCTCAGAAATCTCTACGGGGCCCACACACCCACTCTCTCTATCGAAGGTGTATGTTTGCCCATAACACACTATTTGTAATACAACCACTTTGCATTTGCTTATGGAATCACATATATACCAAAATAAATATTTGCTTGTAGTGAAAACTTGGTCTACTAAATAAATCCATCAAAACCACACACCATAGCTAAGTTTCCTAGCCATAAGTCTACAAGCAAACAAAAATTCATACACAAGCCATACAATCCACACATACTCACACACATATACATAATCATATCCTACTAGCACTCTAATCCTAAATACATTACAATAGATTTGCTCAAAAGAAAGGGGTTGCAGTTCTTTACAATTCACAAACAACCTCTAGCTCTGCTCATTTCCCCGTCCTCCACTGGTTCCTTCGCCTGGACTTGGAAATATTGAAAAGAAAGGGGTGAGACAACCATAGTCTTAATAATACAGAAATCGATATTCTTTATTACAAGAAAAGCTATGGTTAAGTAAATAAATAATAGATTCAAAATAACATATAATTAACTAATTAAAATACTTGAATGCATGAGATAGGCCAATATAGCCTTTCCTGACCAATAGAATGCCCCTTGGCACTCTTTAACTTGTAAGTAAACCTTGTACCCACTGTACCTCCACAGGCACAACATATAAACCAAGGCATGATCTGATCCACCAAACTGCCTGTGCCCCTTTGACGTGAATCCTGAATAGTCAAAGCTAACTCCCTCCCAGAGCTAGCGCGACTTACTCTCCATGTGAGGGTTACCTTGGCTTAGGCACTCAAACTCATATTTCATATGTCAGATTCCCTCTCCCACTGAGAGGTGTCGAACACTTAATCCACTAATCACTTTAGTATATTGAGCCCACAATACAAAAGCAACACTAAGTACTGACAGTGAGCTATAGAATATCACAAGAGCACATCTCCCTATTGGTGAACTCCCATCAAGATCATGCCTCCTACCATTTTCTACCTTTCTCGAGTATTGGCCACTTCAACACTTAAGGTAGTATAACACTCATAATTCATCCTTTAAGCGGTTCCTTAGCCTATTTAAGGTACCAAACCTAGTTGCACTTCCCTAAGTGCAACTCCTTGTTTTTTATGATCAAAATGCATGCTAATAATCTTATTTCCATAAGTAACATCAATATTAAATAGATAGTAAATATAGATGCATTATTATTAAAGAAAAACCCCATAAACCCTTCTAAAACACATTTTATTTGCATTCAATTGCTTAAAACATGTAATGCATGCTAGATAATATTATCTACTCAAAAATAGCTAAACAAAACAATAAGAAATATAAATTCTCCTGTTACCTCAACCCTTTGATACTAAAAGGGTTCCTCTTGTACAAAATAGGATTCGGCTTGTTCCTTAACTTCCGAACAAATTCCGCCAACAATCCTTACAACATATAATTGATTCACACCACTTATCATGACAAATCGCATTAATGAAGACTATAACTCATACCACACAACTTGGGTCAATGAGTCATAATCCATCCTAATGGTCTATATATTAAACCAACCATTCACATAGTATCACTTAACCACTAAAACCATTTATTAGCCATCACTAGGCTAATTTTCAATTTATGTAATTTTTAATCAATTAAAAATCTTCACTTAGTGTCACCAACTTTCACCATTAGCCCTTATAATGAAAACCAAACCTTAATTTAAATCTTATTGGGCTCAAATGGCAAAATTATAACTAAATCAATAGACTTAAATTATTGAAGAGCAAAACCCAACCTCTTGGGGTTTGATTTGTGCCCAAAACACCTCTTTTAATCCAATTATCAATTCAAAATATTAGAACACTATATAAAAACTCAAAACATCCTTCCTAGCATCTAAAGAAACAAAAGCTTACAAGAATAAAGCCTTTGGGATCAAAATCCAAAAATTCTCTCTTCAAAAAATTGAAGAAAATCAAGAGGAAGGGAAAAGGATTGCAGTAGGGAGTTTACCTATCGTGTAGCCGAGCTCGCAACGGTCGTAAAGCCTCCAAGATCCAAGCCTAACTCCCTCTCTTTCTCCTCTCTTCTTCCTCTTACTCTCTCGTGCTCTTTGTTCTTTTTTTTTTTGTGTTTCCTGCATTCAGTTTCCCCTTAGAAAAAGCTGATATAAGACTTTGGAAAAAATTACAAGAAAGGGCCTAACATTTTTTATTATAGCACAAAAGCTTGGGTCAGCTTTGGTAATTTTTTTCATAGTTAAAAATAAAATAAAACCTAACTTTTTCTTAGTAAAATTGAAACTCTGGACCTCTATCACATTATTCTAAATTTTAATTTAATTATAGATATTTTATTTTATTTTTAAAATAAATCCGAGTATTAAAATTTTTGGAATATTACAGCTGTTGTCATGATAGATAAGCTGTGACTTATAATGCCTTGGCAACAACTTATGTATCTAGAGAGGAGTTGGCTACAGCTTACTGATTTCTGGTCATGGCTTGCATGCTTTTGTGTGCAGTTGGCTATGGCTTATGGTTTTTGGCTATAGCAGATTGACTTGTGTGGATGAAAATAACTGTTTTGACTCCTTTTTTGACTTATTCTAAAGCTCATTTAACTACGATGCTTCCTAAATGTTTTCTACTCTTATTTATAAGGGTTAAACAACCCTTTAAAATGGGTTTTGAGATTAAATAGTTTGTGGGATCCCATTTCCTAAAGATGTCCAAACTCTTTAGCCAATTTCCATGGTTTATTGAAATATGGATATTCTTTTCTACCATGGCAACTTTGGTTAATGATTACTTTTATTTTAATTGCCATTGTAAAGTATTTAATTAAAGGTTTAGTGTATGGATAATTATGTGGTTGAAAGTAAGGGCCATGACAGGAATCATTTGAATGAAAGAATTTGAAAATCTTGAGAAAGTGCCAATATCTTATGAAAGGATATGGTTGAGGAGGTAGGAAAGGTTGCTAAGAAATTTTGTGGAGACTCAAAAGTTTATGGATTGAGAGATAGAGTTTTAATTGTGGGATGAGAACTTACAAGAGAAAGTCAAATATAAAATAGAATATTTTAAAGACATATAGTTACACCATAACACTGAAAATTGGATAAGGTATCATGTGGCTTAAAAAGGAAACTAAGAAAGTAGTGAATAAAGCAAGTTCTAAAAGGAATCAACTTGGTCTTGGAAAAGACCTCATTGGTTTCTTAGAATTTTCAGAGCCATGTGGAACTCATGATTCATTCTACTCATCCTATATAGCTTGCCACCTATAAATATTTTTGGTCGAATCGAGTGATTTAACGATCAAATGTGGATGTGGGTGTTGGTAGGGCTACATTGCACTCTTTTTTGTAAATTTTGGGGTGACATTACTTAAAAAAAAAATGATATTAAGCTTCATGAAAAAAATTTAGAACATTTTTGCCATTTAACTAAAGTTTTAAATCCCATAAATATAGGTAGAGAAACACTAATAAGGACGTTCAAAAAAGTTGTTAAAAGAGATTTTTTAGTCAATAATTTATTAAAAAGTTTGATTGTTGGCAAAGTATAATGGTGCCATGTAATCTATATAATTGATCTCATTTAATGAGGTAAAACTTGTTGTTGCAGTATTGGAAATGAAGAGATAACAAGGCTGGGATGATACATGAGTGCTGGTACCATTTCCTTATTTATACAACTAGAATACATGAAAATTCAATATAAAAAATATAAAATTTATAATAAATTCTACTATTCAAAAAAAACGGTTAATGTCATTCGTTGTTTAGACTACGTTAAATACAATAAATTTTTGAATAGATCTGGTGTACTACATTATTCATGGACCGTCCAATAAAATTGTAATAATTCAATTAAATAAAATATTATGTATCATTATTTTTAATGATTTTATTTTTATAATAAAATACCTATTTAATTTTTTGTCATTTTTTCTCTCTGTTATTATTAATGTAAGAATCAATTTATATTTAACAATATCTATATACCATGCTTTTATTAAATATATCATGTGGTGTAGCAAATTCATCTAATAATTTTTCCCTTAAATATATTGTGTTAGAAACATACCTTTTCTTGACTTCCTGCAGTTCCAACAACATAACAACCACACAATTTTGCCAATTGGCCAGCAATATGACCAATTGCCCCAGACGCCGCCGACACAAGTACAAAGTCTTCTTTCTTGGGGCGTCCCGCTTCGAACAAACCAACATAAACAACCATCCCATGCATCCCTGTGTTTAAAAGGAAAAAAGCATAATAATAATAATAATAATAATAACAATAATAATAATAAATCATTTGATCTCTATAGTATTATTATAATTAAAATTCAATTACTAAAATCTGACTCAATCACCGTAACTTAATTCTTATAGTTTTCACTTGTTTAAAACTTAATTCTTAAATTTTGATTTGGTGCAACTCAATCCTTGTGATCTATTATTATACTCTATAGTTTTAAGTATTTAAAATATTATTTCTTAAATTTTGAAAAATAAAATTATAAAGATTAAAGTAAATTCTTGAAACTTAGGGATTAATGTTTTAAATTGTTAAAATTATAGGAATTGAGTTATATAATGAGTTAAAGTTTATAGAATGAGTTATAATTGAGTTAAACTATGAAGACCAGATGATTAAGTTTGTCATAATTATAATAATAATTCTCTTGCAACCAATGCAGATTGAAATTGTTACAAATAGTAGTTTGATCAAGTGGTGAAATGCATTCGATTTTTCTCAAGCAAGATTGATAGCTTCTTCTTCTTTTTTTATGATTATCAAATTGAGTTAGATTTGAGTATCATTAGATTCTATTAAAAATAACTCTTTTAAATACGGTCTTATTACATCTACATAAACTTAAACTTGAGTCCTCGTGTTTAAATGGTTATAATTCCTTCCACTAGACCTAACACTTATTACTAAATTGGCAATTTTAATTTTGTAGGGGGTGGGGCGGGGGACATTACATTAAGAAGGTTATTTTTAATCGGGTATTGTTAGTCCAATTGGCAAGCCCATTGTATTGTCATATTTTTATTATTTTAATTTATAAAATATCACAAGATAATATTAAAAATATATTTCAATACTGATCTTTAAATTTTTAAATTCATATATTTTTTTAAATAAAATTTTGAGTGTTCTACATCGTTTTAAGTATTTCAAAACTATATTTTATATTTTTATAAAATAAAAATAATTAATTTTAAAATAAAAAATTAATAATTCAAGTATTCAGACCAGTTTAAAGAGATTCAGGTTGGCTTTAGGTATTTAAGTTTTTCTATAAGTTTGGGCTTATTCAGGCTAATCCAAATTAAGCCCAACTTAAATATACCTGGCCAGCATGAACTATTTACTTTACTAATAATACTTGATCCCGACATAATATGAAATAATATATATATATATATATATATAAATTGAAATTGTCGAAGAGATACACATTAACATACCAAGGATTCCAGCATAGTAGGAAAGTGGGACCACGTTGCTGTAGTCAATTTTGAAGAGGAATTGACCTGCTGGAGAGACCAGGCTATACTCTTCCCACATAATGTTGCTCCAAACAAAATCACCTTTCATATAGTCAGCATGTTGAGATTCAACAACTTTAGCCACTCCATATCCAAATACTGGCTGCAATTCTTAAAAACAAATGTTAGTAGTTGCCAACAGATAGAGTCACAGTGATTTTCAAGTTAAACAAAAATATATTTTTAATCCTTTAATTTTATATAAAATTTTTTAGTTATTTTCTTAATTCTATAATGTGTATTTTTAATCATTTAATCTTGATATTGTTAGTTTTAAGTGATTATTTTTTGTGCTAATGAATTTTATTTTTAAGAAAAATTATATTTAATAAGTTAACATTTGAAAATATTTTGTTAATATTTAAAATTTTAATGTAAAATAAAATATTATGTAAATTTACAGGACTAAAAATATATCTTAACCTTCAAATTATTATAAAATTTTAGTTCTTTAATTTTGCTTTAAGTTTAATTGATTTTATTTGATTCTAATTTAATCTTATAATTTTATCGTATCCTTTAGTTTCATCTCTTATATTAAAGGACTAAATTAGAACCTAATAAAATTAAGAGACAAAATTTAAAATCAAAATAGATTATTTAAGGTGGTTAAATTAAAACCAAATATTGGGAAAAAAATCAAATAAAATTAGCATACGAAACTAAAATTAAGAAAAAAAATTGAAGAACCAAACTTAAAGTAAATGACGTGAAAGAATCAAATAAAAATTCAAAGTTAAGAGCGTGATTTTAATTCTTAAATATTATATAAAGTTTTTGTTTGATCCCTTAATTTTAAATTTTTTTTCAATGTTATTATTAGTCTCAAATGATAAATTTTTGTATCAATTATTATTATTGAAAAAAATTAAACTTAATATGTCAGTATTTAAAAATATTTTGTTAACATTTAAGAGTTTGATGTCAACATTATTTTATTAATGAAATTAACAATATTAAAGTTAAATAATTAAAAATATATTTTATAAAATTAAATTACTAAAATAAAACTTGATGAGAAGTTAAAACACCAAAATATCAACCCAAGAAACGGGCTTGGCTTCTCTTTATTTTCTCTTTACTTTTTATCTCAACCATTGAATTTATTTTTAAATGGTTGAGATTTGATGTTTCATAAAATAATTATTATATTTATTTTTTATAAAATTTCACATTTTAATAATAATTTTATGAAACATCAAATCTCAACCATTTAAAAATGGATCCAATGGTTGAGATGAGAAGTAAAGAGAAAATGGAGAAGAGAGAAAATGAAGAGAAGTTAAGTCCGAAACTTTTCTACACACAAATTTCTTTCATGTTTCTCATCGCAAAAAAACAATAAATTTTTCTCTTGAAAATTTCTCTTTTCCTTATCGCTACATTTTGTCACGAAAAATTATCTAAAGCCAAATGTATCCCTGATCCATTTTGGAATTGGTTTCGGTGCTTATAAGGGGTACGTTGAACACCAAAATCTGGAATGAATTTAATCTCAATAGTTGATATTTAATTTTTATTTTTTAAAAAAATGTTATGTTAATGCATGCATGAATCAAAATAGAAACAAAAAAAGAAAAAAAAAAAAGAACTCTTAACTATAAGAAATTATTGACAAATTTAAATCGTCCAAATCTAATCACCAAAACTTAACGCGAGAAAGAAGCAAAAATACCATTGCTTATAACTGCAGATATATAACAAACCCACTTTCTGGTCTTCTCACTAGGCTTATAGAATAAATTTTTAGCAGTTAAAAGAAGAAACCATGTTCCAGGATCATCAAAATCTATGGATTCAATCTCATTATCCCTCAAATTTAAGAACAGATATATAGATATAGAGAGAGGGGGGGGGGGGAAGAGACTCACAGAACCAGGAGTGAAATGAAAACCAGAAAGACCTTCCTTGGTCATCAAGTGTCGAAAGTCTGGATCACAGGACAAGTAAAGATTCTTGAGCAGAATCTGATTCGAACCTTCTGCAACCTTCAGCTCCATGGAAGCCTCGACCACTTTTATGTCGGATTCTTTTGGACTTCCTGATATTAGGTAGTCCCTCAGAACCACCTGCTTATTCCTCACTGTCGTCTCCTCCGTTGTCATTTTTCTGTATTGTTCTCTGCTTGGTCCAGATCTGGGCAGCTTAATATGGGAAGTCGTGTGATTTTAAAATTGAAAGAAACAATAAGGACAAATTTATGTATTATCTCATACAAAGGACTTATTTATAAAAGGCTCGTGAATTTTGAAAACTATAGTTAAACCCCAAGGACCTGATTGTAATTTGGATTTTAATGAAAAAGACTTCTATGCCTTGTTTACTCAAAAATAAAATAAAATAAAATAAAAACCTCTTAAAATTACCTCTGCCTGCAGCTCACTCCTACTATCATGATTCATTAACATCCCCAATGTAATAAATAATGACCTAGTAATTTTAATAAGAACTATAATTTATGATATGATATTTTAAATATAATTTTATTAATTTTGGGGTATATTTCCCTTGTACTAAAAAAAGAATAGAGAGAGATCAATCTAACATCAACATATTGCACTTGGCTCTCAATTTAAAAAGGGAAGAATTTTATTAAAGATCTTTGGATGTGACATAATTTTAATTAAGATTTAAGAAAACAATAAGTCAGAGTAATGAAATGAAATAAATTTTTTTAGTTATATTTTCAAAATATCCTTCAATTATAATTAATATTACTAAAACAAGAAGTATTAATACTAAAAATTTTTATTTTAATAAGAACCAAGCATTTAACTTGGTTGATATGTTATACAATCAAGATTTTTAGTATTAATGCTTGGCTATTTTCAAAATAGGCAAGCATTGATGATGTATTCTATTTCTGCTCACATGGTTGATATATTATACATTCAGTATCTATATAGTTTTTATTATTTAAACACAATATTTGAATCAAGTTGAAATTTTTAGTATTAAGATCAAGATGATGATGGTGTGGGTTTGCTTTTTTTTTTTTTTTATTTCTTTAGCTTAAATTGATTTTTGATGGGAAATTTGAATGAAAAAAAAACATGATAAATTCAATTATGGTTGGTTGGAATTTTGTTGGACAAGAGATTGAAAATTAAAAATCTTTATTAACTGTTTGGAAATTTATCCATACAAAGTGTTTGATTAAAAAGCTTTATTAAATGGTTTAGTTAGTATTACTCTCGTGGACTATCTGTTCACGATTATTTTTGTGGTTTAGGCCGTTTTAGCTACTTATCATTGTAGATTGTGTATTTATGTTTGTCTTCATGGTGTAATCTACATTTAATTATTTACCTTTATAAACTATATATTCAAGTTTGTTACCTATTTTTGGAGCCAGTAATTCAATCGGATTAGGCTTATTTAGATCAAGTTCAATTTGGACAGGGGTTATTTGGATAGTGCTTTAAGTATCCTATCATCTTAAAAAATCTCATATAGGCAAGCTCGGCCTTGACTTTTTTTGGGCTAAGTTTGAGCTGACGTGTTGAGGCTAGCCAAAGTTACCTACTTTACATACACATAGAGCCAAAACTTTTAAGGGTTGGACTTATTTAGATTGGGCTTAAAATATCCAATCCTCTTAAAAAGCTTATATAGTCAATTTCGACCTTAACTTTTTTCGAGCAGATTATGGTTGGCCCATTGGGTTAGCCCAAGTTATCAGCTCTCCCTGTTTTGAGAAGTTCAAAAATAAAAATTTTTAATTAACTATTGTATAAACATTTATTTTTATTGGTATATGTCGTCACATGTTCTGTTTGTTTGACAGATTTGCTCCCCCACCCCCCAAAATGTTAAGATATCTCCATTTTAATAATATAGTGGACCATGATTTTGGATGCTTTATAATACCCTTTTTATTTTAAGATAAAGTGGTTATATTAGATTAAATTGTTCTCTTTAAATTGTGCACATATTTATTTGAAAATAATAATCTTTGTTCTTTACAGCTTTATTATAGAGATATTATTTATTGAAAAAAATATTTTTAATCTCAAATGATATGTGCCTATCTATATACTTGTAGTTGAATATTGAGGGGTTTATTTTCAATTTAAAGTTGAAGCACTATTTCAGTTAATCTTAATTTATCATAAAACCTAAATTTATGTATTATATTTTTTCAGTTAAGTTTTAAGTGCTCCATGTAAATCATCGGCAGGATCCTTACTTTTATTAGTGATGTGGTATGTCTGTTGGTAAGAAGCAGCATTCCGTTTGTTGGATTGTTAATGTCCTTTTATATTATAAAATTTCGAAAAATCTTACCATTAGGACAAGACTTTTCAAAAGATAACAAAAGTGTTAAAAATATTATTTCTAAGATAAATATTGTGTCATGGTGTAAAATTTGAATTTTTTTGTAAATTAAGATTTAAGAGATATAAGCTTTGTATACTTATCCTATACTGGTCATCCTTATTTTTGATGCATAACGCCAAAAATTTCCCTTCTTTGTGCTCAAGCCAAGCACGAGTTTGCTTCACCCATTCTCTCACGATTGCATAGAGTTTGGTTTTTGCACTCATCACTTGATGAGCATTCATCTAAATTTTTAATCTAGACCATCCAAATTTTATAAAATTTATTTTTTATTTTCATTATAAAAAATTATAAAAATTTAATAAATTTATTTTATCATCAATCTGGATAATACATATTTAATCTGAATAATTTAATTTAGTATTATTTTTTTAAATTTTTTATAAATTAACTATCCAAATATACTTTAGACAGGCTGGATTCAGAGTATATTTAGGTAGTCAATTTATAATTTTTTTATTTTAAAAAAAATATTAAATTGATCCATTTAAATTAAATCTACGTTATTCAAATTGATAATAAAGTAAATTTATTAAAATTTTATATTTTAATAAATATATAAATAAAATTGATGAATCTGAACCATCTAGAGTTTCAGATTGCTCATGATATTCATCGCCTGATGAGTACCGAAACCAAGCTTGGGTTGCATAAGGGTCCAAATGTAGAAGGGCGTACGAAGAAGAAGAAATTGGGTACAGAAAATCTAAAAGGTTTGAAAGGAAAGCTTGGCATTCAAAATCTGAGTCCTTCGTGTAGCATGCAAGGAGAATTTTTGGGAGTTTTTCACGTTCTAGTAATTAGTGATATAAAAATCTTTTCCGCTAAAATTCTGATTTCATTTAAATTCCAAAGAACTTGGTCGCATTTTCTAAATTTCTTTATTTGTAAAGAAGTTCTTTACGGAGGACTTGTACATATTTTTCCAAATAAGTCCTATATTTTGAAGGAGGGCCAGAAGAAAGGGCAGATAGTGCCATATTGGGTAAAGTGGCTCGGGGAACTAGAGGTCAGCGTTTATTGTTTATTGAATTCGCTGTTCTGTTATAGGAAAATCCGGGGATGAGACAAGAGAAATCGCTAGAGAGTGAACTATGTGGTCCTGACACGAGAAGACAAATAGTACGACCAAACCATACTTCACGTGCTACTTTTTCATTTTATTTATTATATCTGCCCTTTTCATTTTTTGTTTTTGTTTTGGAATAACAGGGCAAGCCAAAGGCTTGAAAAAGAACAGGAAAAAAGAAAAAAATCCCAAGTCTGGTTCAGCACAGTAATGGCAGGGCCACAATACATTGAAACATTCAATAGGAACAGTAAGGATAATCTGGATATCAAAGTTTCCGTGGTGAGCATTTTTTGCTAGTTGATTTATGCAAGTGATGCCTTCTTTGTAGGTATAAGCATTATGAACATTGTGCAACTCCATCCAAATTAGCTTGATTTGCTACAGCAGCCTATCCAAGGGATGATAAACGTTCCCTTCACGAAACAAAAGATTAATCGCCTGTAGTGAGTCTATATAAACCATAACAAACCTGAGAGTACCTTCTTGTAGAGGTGTCCAGTGAGTTTCCTTGCGACATCTGGTGTTCAGAATGATTCTTCTAGATCCCTTGGCAGCACTTTCCTCCCTTAGTTGATGAATAATGGAATGGAAGACCCTCTAGCTTGGAAATCTGGAGTTTTCAAGCACACCTCAGCATCCATTCTTTTTTCCATAAGTGCCAACATGCTACGCTAAACACCTTTTTCCATGACAACTGACGAACCTATCCTTCCCCAATTTCCTTCTTGAAATTCCATCGTCACCAATCCTGCATAGAAAAAGATGAAAATTCGTGCAGATATCAAGGGTTAATAAAAAATGCCTAGAGATCCTGAGCAAGGGAACAATATCAAAGAATATATAGTTTAGACTTCTCACAATGGCACTCAAAAGGACAGTATGTACTCTCACATAAACCTCTCTTTGCTCTTAGGAGATGTTTTGGTCGTCTCTCATGACTAACTTGCCATAAAAAACATCTTGATTTGTTTTAAAACTGGTAACTCACATAAGTTCTTTACTACTACAAAATAAATTTACAGGAATGTTTTTTTTTTTTTAACTTTAAGGAACGCTTCAAAAGAACTCATGTATTGAGTGCTTCGGAATATATAGGAGCTCTTCACAAAGCGCTCCTGTATGTACTAGAAACAAGAGCACTTTTTGGAAAGCGCTCCCATATATGTAAGGTTAAATATGCTCAGAAGCACATATGGGAGCGCTCATTCCAACAGTGCTCCTGCATGTCAGTTCTACAGGAGCACTCAAATAATGAGTGCTCCCGTAGGCTATTTTTATTTTTTTAATCTAAAATTTTCAATGAACATGTAGTTCAAACTCCTCATAATGGCACTCAAAAGGATGGTGTGTACTCTCACATAAACCTCTCTTTGCTCTTAAGAGATGTTTTGGTCGTCTCTCATGACTAACTTGCCATAAAAACATATTGATTTGTTTCAAAACTGGCAACTTACATAACCTCTTCACTATTATAAAATAAGCTTACAGAAATATTTCTTTTAAACATTAGGAGCGCTTTTGAAGCGCTCGCATATCAAGTGCTTCGAAATATACAGGAGCGCTTCACAAAGTGTTCCTGTAAGTATTAGAAACAGGAGTGCTTTTTGGAAAGCGCTCCCATATATGTAAGGTTAAATATGCTTGAGAGCACATATGGGAGCGCTCATTTCAACAGTGCTCCTGCATGTTAGT